TTGTTATTAAATTGAAATAATTATGCATGTCTCCCTTATAATTTAATAAATTCTTTTTTTTATCTTACATAAAGTTTAAAATATTAAGCGAAATATTTCCTGATTCTAGATTATTCGTTGGGTGATATGCTACATGTTACATTTCAAGACTCTTACGTTTCTTATGTTCTTTTATATTGCCACGAAATTTGTGGGTGTGTATGATAATTATTCTTTTCTTTGGAGTTAATTCTAGAGTCCAGCATAGGGATTTTATGCCCCATTGTTGCGTTTTGATGTGCCTAATGATCTATAGTGTTTCTATAAAAGGAAAATTTGACAAAATCAATATCTTGAAATTGAAATTTTAAGAACCCAGATCTATCAATTGAGTTTATTCGGAAGTGGAGCATCTACTATCCATCTCAGCCAAATTTCAAATCTCAAGTGAAAAGAAAAAAATTAGAGAGAGAGAGAAATGTTGTCCAAATTTGAATGATTGTAATAGGGTATTCCAAAGACCAAAAACAGCAACAACACAGAGACATTGAATATAGACTTTATTTATCTCGTGATCATCTGCAAAAGGGGTTCAAACCAAGATTCCAAGTTTACGTACACATCTGAAAATTCTAATGGGAAGCTTGGAGAAAAATAAGAAAGGAAGAGGTCTTACCCAAAAAGCTCATATAACATTATATAGGATCCAACGCTACGTTGCCATCGCCAGTGTCCCACTAAAGCCTTTAACATGCACCAGTTAACACGTCGGTGGGTGTCGCAAATAATTGATTAAGTTCAGAAGTCCTTTTTTTTTTCGCAATCTTAATTTTCCTTTTGTACTGCGTTGATTATTTGTAAATTTGTCAGTCTATGAGGTTAGATTTCTTTTGACGTAGAAATCATTTTATTATAAATTAATAATACTTGGTATTATGATTTTTATTTATTTGCATCCAAATCTCCAAATTGTACATAATAGTTGAATGGTTAAATTCATTTACGATTCACTTAAAAGTATACATTGTTTATAATTTTATGTCAAACAAAATAATCAAGTTATTTGAGTTTTATACAAATAAAATTTCGTAAACCCTGCGTGAATTATTAGGACAAAATCCTTTTTTTTTTCTTCAGATACAACATATTCACTCTTTCGTAGAATGCATTCACTTAACTTATTACTTTGTCTTGGGGGATATTTGATTTTATTTTTAATTTTTTTTAATTTTCAGTAGTATATGTGCAACCGCAAATACATATCTCGTAACACCGTTTCAAAAATGAAAATGTGAATAGCACGAAAGGGATCAATTAATTAATATATACCCACCTGACCTAAAGGACTTCATGATTAATTAAAAATTAACAAACTTCTTTAATTTGATTAAGTTTTAACGGAAGTACTCGAAACAGGAAAGTCAGATCTCAATATAATAATAAATTAAAAAATTGGAAAGATAAAGAATCGTTCTTTTTAGGCACATACAATATATACAGTGGGTTAAGATCTCCTTTGACCAAAAGGTTAGACCTCCATAGAGGAGACAATTAGAAGTTACAGAGTGTGGTCTCAGATGTTATCACACTGACAATAAGTTAACTTTCTTAGGTAGGACGGCTTATTAGGGGTTTCTCATACACAACAAGTTATCCCCTTTTCTAAATGCTGGTCGTTTGCCCCCTCTTTGGTTTGCCACTTTAATTTTTGCTCCTTCTTTTCCTTCTTCCTGTTCTTATTCCATTTCTTCAATGTTGGTGCTTTGAAACCTTACCTAAGGAAGATCCCGTCAACAACAAAATCACTAGACCAATCCCAATCCACCTAGCTAAAAGGTCTCTCTCTTGTCTCGATGGATCAAATTTGAACCCAAAAAGAAAAAAAAGAAAAATATCCCCCAAGTGAGAGTAGGACAGACATTGCAGTTGTATCTTGTTGCTTTTGAGGAATGTAATTTTATTCGTTCCCAAAGTTTATTTTAGTAATAATTGTGTTATTTGTTTTATATACTGTTGTATCTATACACAACCATATAATATTCTAATAAAATATAAAAATGTTGCTCCGGGCATTGTTGAACACATTTGCATGCATGCAATGCAAGCAAATCCTTCCATGATACCCACGTGGCATCTTGTTTGATGATATTATTATTATTATTATCTTCTGGATTGATTGATTTTAGGATTTTCGTCGGATTAGGCATCAGATACGATTTTAGCAATTATTAATTTTTTTTTTAAAAAAAATTGCATCTTACATTGGGAAATTGGAACACTATAGCTGGTGAGTCCCACCAAATCCAACGAGCCACGTAACATCATGATTAAGGAGAGCATTACATGTAAGACCGTGCAAAACTGCGGTTGTGAGGCGGTGACAAGTAATGACATACAGTTAAACACGCACACGCACACGCACGCTCTCATTTTGGGTCTGAAGTTTGAACTCTGATTTTTGAATTCAATGAATGAATGGGTAAATGATTAAGCAAATTCCAGAGTTTCCACTTGAGAAAGAGCATAATCAGATTCTGCTAATAATGACTTGGGAGTTTGTTTATTTATTTGGCCTATTATTCTCTCCAGAATCTCTATTCACGCGCGGATTGTAGGATTCACGATTGGTGAGGTCGCGTGAGGACAAGAAAAAATGTGTGTAAATGACAACGTAACGCTTAGCGTCTTGGGGTAATCGTAGTTTTTGGTCGTAGTTTACAAAACGAATAGAGAGCATCTTTTGGAAAGCGGTGGTCGTCCCGTTTGTCGAACTGTGGTTCATCAATCTCTAGACGATCTGATTCTCACTCTCCGTGAATGTTTTTGAATCTTTTGATCGATATTCAATATTCAAGAGGAGTTTGTTTGGGCTTGGCTTGGCTATGATGATGTGGGGTACCTCTGTGTTTCTTTTTTTCTTTTTATAACTCTATTTTGGGTTTTTTTTTTTAATTAAAATTTTAAATTTTTTGTGGGCTTTTCCTTTTCTTTTTGGCATGGCTTGTATCTTTGACCCAAAGAAATCTCTCCCTAGTGGAATAGACACACAGAGTGAGGCGAGTATGAAGCAAGGTTGCTTTGATGATTGCATAGTATGCCATTGGCGATACCTTTATGTCTTTCTCTCTCCCTTTAGCTTTTTCTTAATGTGATCCAAAAATCAATCAAAATCTAAGGGATCTTCTCTTCTTACTACTACCACTACTAATACTGTGATCGCATAAGCAACTGCTCCTAAAAAGCAATGTTGTGATGGGGTTTGGATTCGGGGCATGAGGCCACTATCATGACAAGCTTGGCTTTGTTTCGAATTCACGTGATTCCCACAGTACGGGCAGCCACAGGAGGAAGCTGAGCCCCAAAAACTGGTCGTTGTGGTTGTTGTTGCTGCAGATTTGATGGACTAGACGGCCTATAACAACTTACGGAGTGGGGGATGTTCGGAGGAGTGGTCATTGTTCGGTTGAAAATGCATCATCACATGGACATAGACGCTAGCCACAAATTCGACATATTCCACCCTCCTTAATAATGTGCGTGACAACCAAAAATTCAAAAAAAAAAAAAAATTCTTATTCCAAAATACATGTATAACTTAAACCAATATGCATCCCCAGACCGCAATAACATTAGACAAACATTGCAACTTAATTAACCTTCACTTCCTTATTGACTTATAATTAACGGGTGGATGCTTGAGTACCCATAAATTAATTTGAGAGAGAAAAAATTGTTTGGAATATTAAAGCTATCAGTTTTGGCAATTAATATTGGGATAAATTTTTTTCACTTTATAGGAGATAATTTTATTTCTTACACAAATAAAAATATGTGCAATTTATATATATATTATTTTTTATATAATCTCATATAAGTTTTATATATTTTTATATATAAAAAAATTAAATTATTTGGTATTATAAGGATGGAGGCAGAGAGTATATGGTTAACAATATTGGGATTAGAGCGTGGTGTAGGAGGGAAGAGAAGGAGCGTGAGAATAAGGGGGGAGAGAAACTATTCCATTTTCCTTGGGAGGGTGGCAGTGGCAGTGGCAGAGGCAGAGAAGCAGAGATACGGATACGGACAGAGGTTTTGATGTATTGGGTTTGAGACACTAATAAAGCCTCGTGATCGGAGAAGGCAGATCCATGGAAGACTGTTCCCTCAAGTCACGTGGGCTCTTTTGACTACCCAATGACCAAACCCACCCTACTCTTTCTTTGTTTCCTGCGCCTCAGCCCACCGTCTCTTCTTTCTTTCTTTTTCTTGTTCCACCTAGTGTGCTATAAATTGAAACTATGCAAGGGAAAATCTTACACAAAGTCACAAACAGTACCATAGATAGAAACTCAAATACTTTGCTTATGCCCTACAACCGCACTCACTTCATCATTCACTGGCTGCATGATTCAGTCTTACCCTTGATTTATTTTTAACTATTGCACTTTCTCTCTCTCTCCTATAACACACCCATTGGCCATTGGGTCCCTCTCTCGTCTTTGTATTTTATTATAACTCTCATCTCCTTTCTCTCTCCTGAAACCCAACCACTATATATAATTATATACATATATATATGTAACATCTCTCCATTTGCAATTAACGACAAGGTGGACTGCAGGTGCTGACTGGTATTTCGCCATTTTATTAGCTTACAAAGCTAACAGACAACACCTCCTTCTCATTTCTCCCCCCACTCCGTACCATTCAGCTCTTTATTCCAAGCCCCCCGTTACATTTCAAACGTTTTATTATTGCAATTCGAACGCAGTCTACTCTCCTCATTATACTTTCTCTGCTCCAACCCCTTTAAATCTATAACCTCATCATCTTCTCTTTCTTTTCTCTCTCCCTCTCTCTCTCTTTTGCCTATTAATACTCGTACCGTCATCGTTCTTTCTCCTCATCACCTTCTTTCTCTCTGTAACCTCATCAGCTTCGAATTCCGAGGATAAGGAAGGAGGGCTCATTCATCAAAACTAAATATTCCTAAGATAAGAAGAAGAAGCCAACGAAGGATGCATCGTTCTTGCAGTGGCTCCCAGGGGCACGTGATGGGACCCTGTACATGTGGTATGTTTCATAGTCAAACCAATTCTTTCTCTATGCTATTCTCCATGCCCAACCACAAACCCTATGATGAATCAGAAATGTATTCCTTCACTCCTTCTTCCTCTTCCGTGGATTGTACTCTCTCCCTTGGAACCCCATCCACCCGTTACACCGAAGATGAAGAGAAACGAACCCGCCATGAACGTCGCTCTGTCTCAAACTTTTGCTGGGATTTACTACAACCCAAACATAACCCTCAACCCCAAACCAAGACCAACCGAGGAAGCAATAATAGCAACTCCACCAACGATCCTCTCCTCGCTCGTCGCTGCGCCAACTGTGACACCACTTCAACACCCCTTTGGAGGAATGGCCCTCGAGGCCCAAAGGTAAATAACTATAATATTTTCTTTCTTTCTTTTTTCTTTTGATCAAATCATTCTGTTTTTTTCTCTCTCTCCATTTTCTTAAAAAGAGAAGCTTCTATTTGAATTGAATTGCAGTCACTCTGCAATGCCTGTGGGATTAGATTCAAGAAGGAAGAGAGAAGAGCAAGTGCTGCTGCCGCTGCCACACCCGCGGCGGTCTCTGGCGGCGTAATGGAGTCGGCGCAGATGTACAGCCACCACAACAACTCATGGTACGCACACCAGCAGAGCCAGAAGATGCAGTGCCTCTCGCCGGCGATGAGCAACGAGTTTCGCTTCGTGGATGACGGTGATCAAGACTCCGACAACGGCATTCCCTTTCTCTCTTGGAGACTCAACGTCACAGATAGAACGAGCCTCATTCACGACTTTACAAGATGAAAAATATTGAACAATAATAATAATCTTATAATAACCGAAGATGGTAAAAGGAGCTAGACGGTCAAGACCAAGCAGTTATATACGTCAACGACGTTTTACGACGATGTAGAAGATGTTTTTGATTGCGATGGTTATGGTCTCGTCAATATGATTTTATTTTATTTTAACCTTTTCGATTTCGCTTGCTTCCTTTTCTCCGTCTTGCTGTCTTGCATAAGATGGAGTGAGAATGGGATAATTCTATATTCTTAGTTTGCTTTTTCTCTGGATTTCTTTCTTTAAATTTCTCTGTCAGTTACATATAAACCTACTTTTCTGTTTGTTCACTTTTCCTCTTAGATTAGTTATTATATTATATGTATAGTTGATGTTGACCATGATATCATCAAATATGGACCGTTTGATATATCCATTTGGTTGCAAGAGCGTTACAACTTTTATTAATTAACGTCCTATTAAGTATTAACTAACTGCGAGTTTATGCTTAAGCAGAGTGTAAAATTTTACAGTGGTTGTTTTCATTTTTGTGAAATCCACAGCACAAACATTCATACACAAACATAGATACACTTTCAGGAGATGAGTGAGAGAGAGTGAGTCGTATGTGCATTTAATTTGTTTGAAACAAAACTGATGGTCCAATGCCAATGTTGGATCACTGTTCTCTCTGAACTGGACACTGTGCGGTTCAGAACAGTAAAACTGAAATGTCTTTTAGAATACCGCATCGAATCTAATCGTCCAATGGAGTTAGTGTTGCACTGGCTTGGGTACTCAGGCAACTTTTTCACCATCAAACCTCACATGATTACCTGTATATCTTTTTGGATCCTGTTAACGAGCGTGTAAATAATTAAAAGATAAAAAATATATATTTTGTAAGATATCCAGTATTTCAGAACTTTAAAAAAATATTATTTATTTATTTTAATCCACATCACTAGTGTCAGATTATTATGAACTAATTACGAGAGGAATTTGGATGTTCCGACAGGATAAAAAAGAAAAAAAGAAATATGGATAAATAAGAAATAAAAATTTCTTGGACCACCAAATCTTTCGGTAGTTTTTGACCACTTTAAATTTTTTCATTAGCTAGATATAGAGTGAAATAATTTTCTACGAACACAACAGTGTGAAGATATCAAACTATCAAAAAGTATGGAACAAATAAGCAGCAGTTCTAATTTTGGTGCATGATTTTCTTTCTTTCATTCTTAATGAGATGGTGTGAGTGTCAGGCGGATCTAAGAGGTGTCTGTGGTGGAGGATCATTATCAATAAATTAAGGTTACACCACCCTATCAAGTGGATCCGATATCATGTCTCAATCCAGAATCTTACTGTATTGAGTTTATGGATCATCCCACTTATATGGACTTCACCTAACCCATTACTAACCAATATGAAACTCACCACCACACTTGAATATTCCAACAATAAAAACCCAAATCAATTTCCAGATCAATTTCACAGTTTTGTCAATGCCAAGACAAAACCTAAATCGCGAAACCCCAATCTATCACAGTAACTTTGGTCGCATAACCAGAACTTTGATACCAAATGTTGGAAATTGACAAACACACAAATCGAAAAACAAAAAGAGAAAGGAAAGAGAGAGATCGACACAGTGATTTACCTTGGTCGCAGAACCAGAGCTTTGATACCAAATGTTGAAAATCGACACACACACAAATCGAAAAACAAAAAGAGAAAGATCGACACAGTGATTTATCTTGATTCACACAATGTAGACTACGTTCAGCTTGTTTATATTATATTCACTCCACCGCCAAACGTTACAAGTCAGTTGATTTATAAGGGAATATAAATATGATTTAGAAAATCTTAATAGCAGTTATTCCAAACCCAAACTACTAAGAAAAAAATTATAATATGTCATAAGCCCACAACAGTATCAGTTACCTTTCTACTGACCCTGCCAACAAAGACCTCATCAACATGTGAAGAATAAGCCATATCCAACATAGAGTGCTTTAGAATTGAAATAGTCTCCAGGGATGCATTAGCTTTTCCCATGCTTGCAGGGATGACTGGAAGCTAATCTGCGTTTTTGACCCGTTAGATCTTGGATAGTTAAATTAAGGGTTCGCTTTTTCTACAGTCAATGTAAATAACTTATCTACATTGAGCTCAATGTAGATTATAATTTATTTTTGTAATTATAAAGCGAAAATATAATTTTTCAAAACAACGTCGTTTTAAAGCGAAAATCAATATATTTTTGTAATTATAATTTATTTTAGGGTTACAATAATCTTTTTTAATATAATTTTTTAACCTAAAACGACATCGTTTGAGGAGCGGATGTAGATAACTTATCTACATTCGCTGCAGAAACATTAAAACCTTAAATTAAACCATATAATTACTGAAAATTCTTTTTTGGAGATTTACAGAGAATACTGATTGTGATGCAGATATTCTTGCAAAATTTGGACATATTTAGAAGTTTGGTGTCCATTAATTTGCTATATATTCCTCCTCCTTGTTTGGCTGAGGGTTGCGGAATGATATTAATAATAATCTTGGATCACATCATATGAATTTTTTCTTATTCATTTTAAAATAAACAAATGTTGCTAGTAATAAACGGTTGTTATTACTTTGAGTTTAATATTTCACATGTCACCTAAGAGAAAATTACCTTCTCTTATCTCAAAATGAAATTGTTTTGGAATTACGTAATTCTATAATTTTAAATTTTTGTGGGATTACATTAGTCTTTATAACAACATTATTTTGCGTCAGTAAACATTAAACCCTATTACTTTTGGTATAACTACTCTAAAAAAAATTGGGTACCCAAGAAAAATCTCTAAGGAGATGGTGCATAAATGAATTGATCAATATTGATTGCAATTTCGTGACCAAGTTAAATTTATAGTCGCAAAGAATTCTTGGTGAACGTTGCTAGCGGAGAAGAAACTTGAGCCCATATGACATATTGAATCATTGAGATGTTGAAAATTCTTCAGGGTATTCAATTTCTCTATCTCTCGTGACTTTGGGTTGATGATAATTAATGAACTCACTGGATCTTAACATGAATTTGAAGTTAAAAAAAACGAAGAGCTAGGAAAAAAAATATAGTTATTCATGTGGCATCCAGTTGACCATTTGATGTGATTATGTTTTTCCTTCTAAGTTGAGTACTTCAATTTCAATAATTTATGCATATGAATCATGGAACCACATTATTCGTGAATTCCTAAAAACCGTTTTCGTAATATACGCCCCTATACTCTTCATAAAATGAGTTTATATATATATGGAAAAAAAAATCTCCAGTCACGAGAGATAAAGTTATCTCCAGCGAGCTCAAAACGACGTCGTTTTGGAGTTATGAGATTAAAAATTTATAATGCCAAAGACTAATATAATCCTGCAATATATTAGAATTACAAAAATACATTGATTTCTGTCCAAAAACGACGTCATTTTTGGCTCACCGAAGATAACTTTATCTCCTTTGAGTGGAGAAATCCTTTACCCATATATATATATATAACATAAAATGAGTTCCGTAGCACTTATCAGTTATCACTTTTCAAATTAAGTAATTAATTCTATATATTATTATAACAATTTTCATAAACGATTCATAAATGATGTGGTACTATAATTCATGACAAATTTTTAAAAATATAGGATCCAGGTTAAAGAAAAATAATATACACCAATTGTAGGATATATATGCTCTACTCCTAATTCGTATCAGTTTTTTCAAATTCGTTTTATACGATGTAACATTTTTCTTTCATAAAACTATTAAGAATGAGACAAGGAGCAATTCCACATTTTTTTTTTATAACCCCACATTTTTCTTTTAATAGCGTTATTCTAACACTATTTTTTTAGGGTTTGTTTTTTCTAAAGTTACTTTAGATAATTTTATCTAATATTCATCGAAACGACGTCGTTTTAGGACGGAAATCATGGTATTTTTGTAATTTTAATTTATTTCAGGGTTATAATAGTCTTTATCATTATAATTTTTTAATTTTTCAACCCCAAAACGACGTCGTTTTGATGAACATTAGACAAAGTTGTCTAAAGTAACATCGGAAGCCTTTTCCCCATTTTTTTATATTCATTTTTCACTTATTTATTTTTGAAAAAAAGAACCAAAAAAAAAAAAATCTTCTCTCTTCTTCCTTCCTTTATTTATTTTTTAAGATGTAGAACACAATTACATAATGATGTTTTAGTTTTTTTTCTTGTTAATTGGGTCCCAAAATTTAAAAAATTATTGCATAAATCATAATGACATGGATCATTGGTGGAATATTCATGGAGGCGGCACCTTCATTTCGTGTAACAAGTAACAACTTCTCACCTTTGTTGTCGGGGTTAAGTTCTTATCTTTTTAAACTTGGGGCTAAGATCCCAACTTTGTACCGTGGGCCGAAGTTTTACCTCTATGCTCGTGGGCCAAATTCTTACAAAAAACCCATGTCACCTGCTATAAATACTGGTGAAATCAAATAAATGTAGATATGTACATCGTCACCCAATGTCATGCTCCAAAATGTAAAACCCCAATTTATTTGATTCAACAATATAGATTCTACAATCATATACAGAGGCTTTGATACCAAATGATAGAAATATTTTACCCTGGATCATGTATATGATTATAAAATACTTAAACAATATGAAATCAAAGTTGGGATTGTGTGTACCTTATTGGATCGTCACAAAGTCGAAAGATTGAAAGGACTACATGCCAGATCTTCCTCTCTATCACCTATTTCGATAGAGGCAGCCTCAGCGATGGGAGCATGATGGCTTATGGAGCTTAACTCCAATATTTATAGGCTAGAGAGGGGACCTAGCTAATAACCTAGAAAAGAGTCTGTGTCCACTGGGTCCACCCATCATGGAAAACCAGGGTCACACTAAAGCCTACACTGTTGCCCAACTAGGCCCAATAACAACAGATGCTAGAAGCCCAATTCAATGTGATCACAACGAGCTAGTTACAATAATAATATTGAAATATCCATTAACCCGATTAATTTTAAATACAAAACTAATTAATTAATATTGCCCATAAAATAAATATCTAACATCTCCACCATTCATCCTTGCAATTTTTCCAACTTGCTTGTTGTTAACTGTTTATAATCTCTATTATATTTTTTTACGCGCAACATAGGCTGCAAAAGATGAGCGAGCGGTGATATCTTCTCTGTGCTTGCCAAAAAAACGTTGTTGTACGTCAAAATGCAATTCTCAGTTACTTCGACAATCGTATTGAAGGTAAAGGCATAAAGTCCAAGTGGATACAATCATACAACCCCCCGGTTATCATGCTATACATAGTGATGAAAAGTGGCCCCAAAACCCATTAAAGATTTAACTCCTTCCAAACTCAAGTACCACATATTAAATTGATATGGTTGGTTGTAGCAGCAGTAGCTAGGATGTCCCATGTTTTTATTTTTTTAGTGAACAGCATAATGTGCTTTTGTACTCTAGCTATTACATTTTCCATTGGTTGGGAGTTACAACTTACAAGGGACCAACAAAGAGTATAGTGTCTGTCTGAGATCAGGGAGAGATGGTGAACCTGGTGACGGCAATATGGTCACTGTTGCGTTGGCTAATGAAAATGTCGGGGTTGAGGACCTACGAGGTGGAGATAGAGCCGGGGACGATGATGAGATTCTGGGTACCTTCGGAGACCATTTCGAAGCCCAAGAATAGCGACGAAAAGCCCAAACTCGTTTCAAAACCTAGCAAGCCAGTGGTGGTTCTCGTCCACGGCTTCTGCGGGGACGGACTTGCGAACTGGCAATTCCAACTTGGCTCTTTAACTAAAATGTACGCTGTTTACGTGCCGGACCTCCTATTCTTTGGCGGTTCCTTCACCGATAAACCGGAGCGGTCACCGGCCTTTCAAGCGAAGTATTTGGCGGCGGGGTTAAGGAAGCTCGGGGTGGAGAAATGCAGTGTGGTTGGGTTCTCATATGGTGGGGCTGTAGCGTTCAAGATGGCTGAGCTGTACCCTGAGCTGGTCCAAGCCATCGTGATATCTGGCTTGGTTTTGGCAATGATGGACTCGATGCTCTTGACCGCAATGCAAGGGGTTGGGTATTCTTCGTGTTCGGAGTTGTTAATGCCAACTTCCGTTAAGGGAGTAAAGTCCCTTCTCGCTGCAGGAACTCACAGAAACCTCTGGTTACCGAGGCGTCTACACAAAGACTTTCTTGAGGTTTGCCCTGTTAAACCCTCTCTTTTTTTTTCTTCCCTGACCTTTTTTTTTTTTTTTTCTAAAAAAAAGAAAACATAGATCTTAAGTGAAAATAATGTTTGTTAAAAAAATAGAATATTATGTTATTTTAAGTGAAATGATATTGTTTTACTTAATATTTAATTAAAAAAAATATCAATAATATTGGATTCTCTTCCACCATAAAAGTCTCTCTTATCATAAAATTAAATATTTTATTTAAAATAACACAATGTTATATTGTTTAAAAGGACAATATTTACCAACAAAGTCCAGTATAATTGGTAGATAACTAGATTTCTTAAACATGTTGACAAGAGTTCAATTCCTGACCGTATGTATGAAAAAAGCTTTGTCGGAAGAGATTTACCCACGTAATATGATTTCTCGAAAGAATTAGTCTTCAGCTGTCGGCCAGATGATACCTTGAAAAATCAATAAAAATAAAAGGACAATTTTTTTTTTCTCATGAAAGAATAATTTTATACAAAAGTAGAATATAAAGATATATGTAAATATGCATAGTTTAATTTAGAGGACAAAATATGGTGTTGATTGACCATTTTGCCCTTATTTTAATTTATTTATTTATTTTGTCTCCTTTCCCAAATTATGTACCAATTTATTAATTTTCTCAGATTATATATTAATCTATCCCTATTTGACTAAATTCGGTCAAATCCTAATCATTTGTAAGTCATTTATTAAAGTAAACGTTGGTTAAACAGAGACAAGTTGATAAATATTTTGAGAAGAGGAATATATTGATATATAATTTGAGAAGAAGGGTAAAGTAATAATTTTTTTTTAAAAAACGGGGATAAATTAATCAATCAGGTAAACAAGAGAATTGCTGTAATAATTTTTTTAATAATAATAATAATATTACGGATTAGTAACTGTTTGTTTGTTTTTGTTATTACAATAAATGTTTAAAATCTGTCAAATATAATTCGTAATCCATAAATCTTTCGCAATTATTTAAAGTATATATTAGCATTAGAAAAAATGACTGTCAAAATAATCCACGTGGAAAACATATGATATGCAATTGGATAGGTCTTAGTGTAGGTTACCCCAAATCAACCAATGATAGGAAAAATGTTTTTTTCTTGATCGCAAAAAATTTACTTACGTGGATGAGCTAATCAGAATTTATTACTTCATTCAGGCAAATTTGTTTATTAAATTTCTTAATATAAATTCTATCTTTAAAAAGAAAGAAAGTATATTTATGTCTTGTTCTATTTAAACATTTTTAAACTTAAAATTAGAATGATAAAAAGTGATAACTCTTGATTCGTCTACTCTATTGTTACTCTGCACAAATTATATTGATCAGAGGCTAATATATCAGTTGGAACTTGGAACCTATTAACTAATAGGTAAAAAAAATTAATTACTTTTTGGGCACAGAAGTAATAGATACACTATTACAACTAAAAACTGATGAAAATAAAAATTAGATTTAATGTTTCTTATGTTATAGGAAAAAAATTTATCTTATACATATACATAAATATATATGAGTAAATATATATGAGGCCCATGTGAGAAGAAAAAAATATGGATTTCCACATATTTTTAGATGTGTGTATGAGATAAGATAAATTTATCTCCTATAATATGAAAAACAATAAACACTTAAAAATTTGCCAAAATATATGGATTTCAAAGAAATCTTAATTTGTAGCTAGTACTTTTACAATGTGACTTCCATGATTATAGGTGATGTACTCGAATAGGAAGGAGCGAGATGAGCTGTTGGAGGCATTTGAAATCAGCTATAAAGACATCAACATCCCGAATTTTTCGCAGGTAATCTCCATAATTTGGGTACTAAAAGTCGAATGCTTTCATCATATATCAACGGATGCAGTAACTTAACTATCTTACCGTTAGAATTAGTTATGGACGTTGACAACTGTAGCGGGTTTTACGGATTCAGTTGTAACAATAATTAGTTGATTCACTTTACGTTTTAGTTGCATAGCCGTTTTCCATGGGCCTGATGTATCTTTAATGGCCTTTTTCTTCTTCTGTATAAATGTAGATCCTTGTTGCTTATTTTCAATAAGATGAATCATTTTAATCAAATTCAGAAACTCAATATGGTATCAGAGCTCCACAAAGGGCTCTGATAATCACGCTTTCCGCTTTTTCAATTCTTGTTTCTTTTTTCTTGAATTCAATCATCTTTCTTGGATTTCACAATGGCAAATCACGTTGCTGCTCCTGATTTTGTAATGAATCCATCGAATCCATACTACTTACATCCAAATGAGAGTCCATCCTTGATTTTGGTATCACCTCCATTAACAGGGAAGAATTATCACACATGGTATCAAAGCTATTTAAAATCATAAATATCATGCTGATGGATCGATTGAACGCTATAAAGCCCGATTGGTGGCAAAGGGCTTCACGCAGCTTGAAGGAGTTGACTATTTCGACACCTTCTCCCCTGTTGCAAAAGTTACGACCATAAGAACTCTTCTTTCTGTTGCTACGGCACAAGGTTGGTTCATTCAGCAGCTGGATGTCAACAATGCGTTCCTTCATGGTGAACTTCATGAGGAGGTCTACATGACTCCTCCACCAGGCTTACATTGCACTAAACCAGGTCAAGTATGTCGCTTGCAGAAATCTCTCTACGGTTTGAAGCAAGCTAGCCGTCAATGGCATTCTCGATTATCTGCTGCGCTACTCTCTCTTGGTTATCATCAATCATCCGCAGATCATTCATTATTCACCCTTCGACATGGCTCTACTTTTACAGCTATTTTGGTATATGTCAACGATATTGTGCTTGCGGGTAACAACTTGGATGAAATTTCACGTGTAAAATGCTTTCTCGATGAGCGCTTTAAAATCAAGAATCTGGGTGATCTTCGTTATTTCCTTGGTCTTGAAATCTCTAGATCATCCACTAGTTTATTTGTTAACCAAAGAAAGTATACATTGGAGATCTTATCTGATACTGGACTTCTTGGAGCTAAGCCTATGTCTACACCAATGGATTCATCTTGTAAACTCACTCTTGCTTCTGGTACAGTTTTGGATGATCCATCTCCTTATCGTAGACTTATTGGCAAGCTGCTCTATCTCACTACAACACGTCCTGACATATCCTTCGCAGTTAATAAACTTAGCCTGTTTGTTTCTAAACCATCTGATTCACATTTACAAGCAGCTCACAGAGTGCTTCGTTATTTAAAGGGCTCTCCTGCTTTTGGTCTCTTTTTCCCTGCGTCAAATGATCTAAGTATCCGTGCATTTGCTGATTCGGATTGGGGTGCTTGTTCCGAATCCAGAAAATCCATCACAGGTTACTGTGTCTACTTGGGATCTTCACTTATTTCATGGCGCTCAAAGAAACAACCTACGGTTTCTCGTTCTTCTTCTGAAGCGGAATACCGTGCTTTGGCTAATTTAACTTGCGAAATTCAATGGTTACAATATCTTCTCCTGGACCTTGGTTTGTCTTGGGATTGTCCAGCCTCTGTTTACTGTGATAGTCGGCCTGCCATTGCTCTTGCACACAATCCCACTTTCCACGAGCGTTCCAAACACATCGAGATTGACTGTCATGTCACTCGAGAGAAGATTCACTCAGGCTTAATTCATCTGCTGCCCATTGCTTCCACTGATCAACTGGCTGATTTCTTCACTAAGCCCCTGATCAACTGATTTCATCAGCCCAGTTTCGTTTACTGCTTTCCAAGCTGGGAGTTCATGATGTTCACCGCCCAGCTTGTGGGGGGGGTATCAACGGATGCAGTAACTTAACTATCTTACCGTTAGAATTAGTTATGGACGTTGACAACTGTAGCGGGTTTTACGGATTCAGTTGTAACAATAATTAATTGATTCACTTTACGTTTTAGTTGCATAGCCGTTTTCCATGGGCCTGATGTATCTTTAATGGCCTTTTTCTTCTTCTGTATAAATGTAGATCCTTGTTGCTTATTTTCAATAAGATGAATCATTTTAATCAAATTCAGAAACTCAATATCATATATGTTAATTACTTAACTTCCCTTTGCAGCGAATACTTCTTCTTTGGGGCGAGAACGATAAAATTTTCAAACTAGAGCTTGCTCAGATCATGAAAGAGTAAGAAATTTAGACCACAAAGTACTTATGATATTATTGCAAAACCACACTAGTACACGAGACCGTATGCATTACTTCTTAGAGAATTTAAGGTAACATTTGGTAGATATATCAGAAGGGAATAAAGCATAATAAATGTGTTCTGTTTTAATTTTAGTGTCTTTTAAAAATAAAAAAGAATATAATATGTACGATACATTTTACCTCCACAAAAAAGGATGAAAAACCAAAGAAAACAAAATAGGACATAGTACGTTTCTGTTCCATTATCTCTACGTGCTAAGTTACCTAAGAGATGCATGTCATCCTATAAATGCGTCGGCTCCCAGGCGCTGACTAGTGTTATTTATACAAATTTTACACTTAATAATTTTTTAATTTAAACGTGTATATGTAAATGTCTCAATTCATGTTCAGATTTCCCAGTCATATAATATACTTCATAAAACTGAAGCATTCACTGACAATGGTATAGCCTTTTGAGATAAGGGGAAGGATCCATTTACAAACTTTTTTTGAAATTTTTTACAAATTACACTATGTTCTCTCGGGAGAACATAGTATAATGAGTGTTCTCCCGGAAGAAGATAATGTAGTTTGTAAGAGTTTGTAAACAAAAATTTTTGTAAATATAACCTACCTCTAGAGATAATGTCATTTTTACTTTTTCTTATTTATCACTTTCCGACTCACCCAGATTTACTGCTGACAATAAATTCAATATTAACTACTCTAATAATTACAAAGTATAGCTATATTTGAGAATGTTTGAACATAAATGTAGTTGTCGCTTTTATTAAATTAGTCCACGAGTAACGTGTCTGATCTGCTGAACACATGACAGGAAGCTAGGAAATAATGCAAGATTACAAGGTATAAAGAAGGCGGGTCACCTGGTTCATCTAGAGCGACCATGTGTCTATAATAGGTGCCTCAAGCAGTTTCTTTCTTCCGCCCTCCCAGGTGCCAAAAAATAATTCAATTCACGTCTTTGACCCCATTCTATGCATGCCTAGATAATGGCATTTATAGTCCAAGATGGAGGTCAAGTTAAAACATGGCCTTTCATGTTCATTCTATATATTTAAAAAGTTTATCGTTCTTCGTCAACATGACATAAATTTATCTCCATCAACTTTAAAATTATATCGGTTTATGATTGAGAAAATTAATGAAGGGTATGTTATAAATTTTAATTTATTTCTTGTTATATGAGTTTTATTAAAATATCCTTCATTAATTCTTCTAATCTCTAAAATGACGTAATTTTGAAATTGATAGAAATAACTGTATCTCATGTTGATGAAAATATAATAATCTCATTTATAAATAACAGGACTCTTTGTAGTGGATGATTATTGGAGTGAATAATAAAATGGAATAACATGTCTGCATTTCATGCAGAAAATTCCTTTTCTTTAGTGGGTTTTATTAATTTTTTCCAACTTCTCTTAACGATGAAACTCATTTTATTTTATGTAAATGTGATAGGAAAAAAATTTCTACAACAAAATTATAAATATTTTTCCCATAATAAAATACACTTAAGACTAAGGTATTTGTGTATAATTTGTATGCGGTTATAAATAAGTTATAAGTTTAAATCTCAATATTATTATTATATAATAATAAACATGTAATTTTATTTGTTTGATAATCATTGGCTTCGAGGGTTGAATAGTTTGAAAAGAAAAGAAAAAACAAATTCGAAGCATTCATTTTATTAATAAGACAAATGTGGAGTGTTTATTGAAGTATAGTAAATAATGCTCAGAATCTAATATAATTATTCATTAAAATTACTTTAGAAATCACACGTAATAGTATAAGTTGACAGAAATTATAATTCAAATTAAAATTTTCATTATTGATTTTCAAATATAATATTTCATTGGTACAAACCGACCATAATATTTTGTTCTGTTTATTTATTTTTTAATCAGTAAATAATAATACATTTTTTTATGGATGAACATATTGGAAGATATATATGTCAACGAGGAAATCGGAATTTAACTTTAAATTATGATCTATATATAAGCATTTTATTTTATTTTGCCACAAATGTACTATTTTTGGATATTTCTTTTATAATTATGTAAAATTTAAACATTTTCTTTTTTAAAGAAAAATAATACACCTCAATTATAGGATATGCTCTATGTAACATCCCGTGTATACCCGAAATATTATCATTGCATCGTATTAAGCTGCTCTTAATTAAAAAATTGCGGAATATCTTTTTCTTTTCAATTATGACGTCATTATGCTTAGCCAAGTTGATTACTTAATCAATTTCGTAAAAACAATGCCTGTATGTAAATTGCAAGACAACTAACTGAAATACCTCAATATAAAATATAAAGTGAGTATCTAAGTCACGACATTACATCACGTAATCCGGACCATATCCTGATACATTAATACAACTCTAATTAAAACAAGACATAACAAGTCTACGTGGCATGGACAATCCCCATGCTCAGCAAATCAACAACATAAACGACAGAGTCTCAACAAGATAATCCAAAATCATAACATGAAGCTAAAAGCATAAAAGCAACAAACATATCCAGCATCCAACATGTCAGCATATAATATCATCAATATCTAACTCAGCTCCGGCCTCCTGCCGCCTGGGGCCTCAACCCCCACATTACCTGATCCTGAAATAAGCATTCCCCAAACGTGGGGTGAGATCTCTAAACTAGAAATCTCAGTAAGACAAGGGGTCCTCAAGGATCTTCCACCCCAAGCTCACTTACATGTGCAATATAAGTCTAAAAGCATTTATATCAATATAAGTTCCAAAACTATGTAGTGCAACATATATTCATGCCATGTGTGTCAATACTATTCTACTGGCCAGAGAAATGCAGGAATACGTCTATTACCTACAGATAGTACAAGGAACACCGCTTGCACCTCACCCACAGCCTCACCATATTGTATGTACTACATACTCAGGCTTACCGTATAGGTGGAACACCACATGCATATCATAAAGGCACTAGCATATAACAGCTCAACAGAATTTCCAAAACATCAAAAGCATGTAACACAACATGCATATAACCATACCCCCATGGGACATGGTGGAACCACAACATGGCTAAACCGAGGACACGAAAGCTTACCTTGCAAGCTCATTATCCAATGCCAAGAGTCCTCACAGCTTAAGTCCAACACACAGCAGATCACAATCTGATTTAAGACCAGCAAGTATATCAACATACATAGCTCAAAAGCATTAACATAAAGGCTACGTTCTCCTTTTACGATTTACGTCTTAAGGTTTCCAACAAAGCCACAAGCCCTTAATCACATGATTCTAACCTAGTTCATTAATTACAGAAGTTCAACTTCGTCAATCCAGGGTCCACAAACCCCCAGTAGCCTACTGTACACACAGCACAACTACTGTTCTACGAAATCCCAGAATATCCGGATATTCCTCGGGGACATATCCGGATATCCAATATCCGGATATCCATCTGGCAATATCTGATATCAATATCCGGATATCCAGATTCCCATATCCAGATATCAATATCCGGATATTTCACGAGCAAATATCCGGATATTTCGCGACAGAATGCAGTTTCTTCATTTCGCGAAGATATCCCTCCAAGGTTCCATTTTTTACCGATTACAGAAGCCTAAACATGCATTTCTAGGTGTGTTTGACATTACCTCAAGTTAGGTTATCATCTTTTAACCATTACATGCATCAAGGTTCCATTTTTAGGCATAGAAACTCATGATCAAGTTGAGGTACATACACAAGGCTTCAAAGCAGAAACAAGGGCTGCTCTTGGAGCTCACAACCAGCTCCAACAAATTGACTACACAAGACCAACGAAAATGCCACAAAGCTTGGCCCTTTCTTCACAAAGGAAGTTCCTTGAAGCTACACAAACCAAGAAGATGACTCCACAACCCCCAACTCAACAAGACAACACCTCAAGCTCACTAAGACAGTAACACAACTCAGAACATAAGCTCCTCTCCCACTCACAAGTGACCATCACACCCAACCATAGTGCTAAGGATGAAGAAAAGAGAAGACTTAAAGCTAAAGGAGCAAACTTGCTCAAGAAATGGAGAAGAAAACCCAAAGGAGCAGCCAAACTGATCATCCTCTCAGCAACTCATGCATAGAAGTCTGTTTTCTAGGGTACACGCTGTATTAACTTTAATTGCTACGCTTAGGATTTTAATCCCAAACTTTGGATTCTTAACCTATTTAATTTAACAAGAATTATCATATTTTTATTATATTTTTCGGAGCACCTTTCTGGTACGCGCTTTTCATAGCCAGTAATAGTTTCTGGCACCAGTTCTCATTATTTTAACTTGAAACTCGTTTTACAAGTCCTATATATTATTCTAGGAATTATCATGCACTTATTATAATTTTTCGGGATACTTTTTCGGTACGCAGTTATACCGACTAGCAGAGCCGGTATCTGCACTTTTCTTCCGAAAAACGACTTTCAGCATTCTTAATCACTTATCATAATTATTAAAGCCTCTTAATAATTATAAGGGTCAATTATGAAATCATTTTCTAATATAACATAATTAATTACTTAATTTCCTTAATTAACGGTGCGGTTCTTACACTATACACCTAATTCGTATAAGTTTTTTTTTTAAATTATTTTTATACGATATAACATTTTCCTTTCATAAAACTATTAAGAATAAGAAATGGTCAATTCTCACATTTTTCTTTTAATAGCGTTATACTAACATTTTAATTTTTATATTTTATTTTTTCACTTATTTATTTTTGAAAGAAGGAAAAAAAAATCTTTTCTCTTCTCTTTTCTTCCTTCCTTTATATATATATATTTTTTTACCCGGGTCCCAAAATTTTAAAAATTATTGCATATTCATGGAGGTCCCACCTTTATTTCATGTGACAATTTCTCACCTTTGTTTTTGGGTTAGTTCTAACTTCTAATATTTAGAGTCCGTTTATTTGAGCTTATCAAAAAAGTAATTTTTATGTCTTCTTTATTTTAGAAGTATTTTTTATAAAAGTTAAAGCTATTTATATTTTTATAAAAATATTTAATTTTTGAAAAAAATATTTGGTTTTTGACTTCTACTTTTCTTAGAAGTTAAAATTTTTAGCTTGTGAAAAAAGTAAATTTTTGGCTTTTTTGTAACTTCTGTTTTTTTTAAAAACAGATATCCAAACGAATTAAAAAAGAAAAGTGCTTTTTTTTCAAGCTTTTGAAAAAAAAAAACTCATCCAAACGGATCCTTATAATTGCAGCTAAGATCCCACCTTTGGACCTTGGCCCAATGTTTTACCTGTATGCTCATGGGCCAAATTCTTATAAAAGCCCATGTCACCTGCTATAAATACTGATTAAATCCAATAATGCTTGTTATTTTGTTAATTTATTTTTTTTGAAAGTGTTGAAGTCCCTTTGCTGCTATCCCACCCCGTCTAGTTGGAAGTTGACACCAGCTCATAGTCGCAAATAGAAGAAAACTAATATTCATTTTTTTTTGCTTTTATTAAAAGTAAGTATATAAATAGGCTTTAATATTTCTAAAGTGAATGTAGATAAGTTATCTACATTCGCTTCTAAAATAATGTTATTTTGGGTTGAAAATTTAAGAAATTAGAATGAAAAAGATTATTATAACCTTGAAATAAATTGTAATTACAAAAATACCTTGATTTATGTCTCAAAACGACATCGTTTTGAGCTTAGTGTAGATAAGTTATTTACATTGACGGTAGAAAAAACGAACCCATATAAATAATGAGATTGATTTTTCTCATGTTCCATGAAACAAATTGTCTCATGTAACACAAAAAAAAGTGGATGGAACCTACTAAGAAGGAGAGAGAAAAAGAAAAAGAGTGAATTTCATCCATTTTTGTGTGTAGTATGAAACAATTTATCCCACGCAAGATGAGAATCATATTTCCCATAAATAATATCTTTCTGGTACATAATATATGAAGAATTTTATCCAATTTTTGATAATTGAGCTCATAACCAAACCGGGTCAACTAGTCAATTGATTAATTTGGAGCGACCCCATATAAGGGTGCCTCAAACAGTTTCTGTCTTTCCTTACAACCAGAGAAGATCGAATTTGTGATTGTAGAAAGGAACTATACTACAATTTGTGATTTAAACGGCTGCACTTCTTTTATTCAAAGGCAACTTTCTTTTCTTTCTTTCGCTTCTATATCTTTTATTGAACTCACATCAGCTAGTACAGTAAAAAGAAACATGTTGCACTGATTTTTTCCCGTCATACACAATGATTAAATCTGGCTTAAAAAAAAAAAAAAAAAATTGGGCATATCATTTGAATTGAAACAAGACATAGTACCGATGCGCTTTCCCATAAATATCTATCTAAAGGAAAACTGAATTTCTTCCAAAGTTCTCCCCTTGGTCTCAGGGACCCACATTGCCGCAAAAACAACAGTAAAGGCAGCTACCACAGTGTAGATTGTGAATGTCCCTGTTGACAGCCAAACGTTAGCATTATATTGACAACATACAAGAGCATGCATGAATGTACTTCACACATAACACACACACAAACCTCCGCTGCTCCAAGTCAAAAGCAAGTTTGCAGTCATTGTGATCATCCACGAAGTCAGCCAACTTGTCAAGGTGGCTATGCTGCCAGCAAATCCCTTTATATTCACCGGAAGTATCTGAAAATCAAGATTAACAAGTCAAATACTGAAGTCCTCCAACCACATAACTCTTGTCAAATAATGCACATGGAGCCTTCAGAACCAAGAGTACATGAAAAAAAAAAAAAACAGTATAAACAGGCCATATTATATAATGAACTAATAACTCGATTCTTCAATTACTTCCGCGTACCTCAGACATCATAAGCCAAGGGATTGGTCCAAGTCCAAGAGAGTAGCCAATTACCATAGCCTGCAAAGAAACGGATTCATCAAACTGATAAGTACTTGAATAACATGAAAAAAGATATTTCCAACCTAGCCCACAAAATTTACCACGAGACCAACTACAGAAAGTATTCCCAAAATGCTGTGTAGACGAGAACCTTCCGATACGATTCCCTGTTATCAATACAATCAATTAGTTAAAAACATAGCTAAGTTCCTGATATTGAATCGAGTTTGTATCATTTCCTACCAACCTCCAGATAGAATGCTATAGAAACCAGGAGAAGGCTAACTGTCATTACAGATGACGATATCTGCAGAAGTGAAAACATATTTTAGAATTTTTTCTTTTTTAAAAAATGTTCATGGATAATGTTATATATATTTTTTTAATTTTATTTTTATCCTTTTCTCAATCTTTTAGTACTTTTCATTTGGGTTTATTTGCCTAGTTTGGGATAAAAGTGTAGTTGATGTTGATGTTAGAAAATATTCTTGGAAGGATTGGTTTTGCTCAATACTCACTATTAGAAGCAGCCTCCGTCCACTTTTGTCTACCAACCAAGTAGTGATTCCAGTCGCTATGACCTGGAAAAGAAAGCTAATTATGAGAATTGAATTCCTGATTTTGATATTACATGAAGAAACATGATATGTAATCTAGGCCTAGTATGCAACCTGAATAGCTCCAAGCCCAACCGTAGCAGCATTGCTGGATGAAATTCCTGTCACAAAACGGAAGTCAAATATCAAAACAGGAGCAATTAAAAATATTGGAGCTACTTAGCTATCATCTAAAACCTTAAATTAGTTTCCTTTGTTAAATGTTGATACCTGAATTATTGAAAACTATACCAAAAACGAAAGGGAATTAACCATCTTTATATTCCTTGTACCACAAGTTAATAACATATTGAAGTTCCAAGGTCACGTAAAACAGCCAAGAAGTCGTGAAGTTACAACATGGGCATTTGAATATTTCAAGGTTTTAAATCCCTTTCATACCTACGGATTAATTAGCACCAACGATCCCCCTGCCCCCTCAAAAAAATTATAATAAAGTTATCAATATAATGAAAAAATTAACTCAACAATTAACAGCTAATAGGTAGATCTAACCTGCATTTGCAAAGATGGTACTTGAATAGAACAAAACTCCATTGGTACCACTCAATTGCTGAAGTACAAGTAATCCAATCCCTATCTGCAGGCACATAACCAAAATTGATGGTGTTCGAATTTTCTGACAAACATATAACAAAAGGGCAAGCTTGGGGAAGAAGTACAAAATCAGAAAAAAAAGGAATTATAGCATACCATCAAAGGAAACCAATATCTTTTCATCTTGAGATCGGCAAACCGGACTGTAACGCCTTTTCCTGTTGATGCCACAGATCTCTACACAGAAAGCAAAGTGATTAGAAGTTTATGGATCTTAAATACAGACTCTAGAACTATACTATAAGTTTATAACTGCACCTTGCATATGCTTACTCTTTTTTTTGAAAGATGCATATGCTTACTCTTACTGTCATGCATATGATTTGGTTGCTAAAATTCAAAAACCCACCCAACAGTGAGTCAAATACCTTAATTTCATTTACTTCAAGTGATATATCGATGTCAAATCCTCGTAACACTTGCAAAGAGCTCTCAAACTCTTCTGTCATCCCCATCTTGGCCTAGATTTCCCCAATTCCCCACCAACCCAGAAGGGAAAAAATAAACACATTAGAAAATCAGTAAGAAAGAGTAAACTATCTCGTCCTCCTTTATTTTTTATTTTTTTTAATTTTCTGGAAGGGACATGTAAATAAACAAAGATGAAAGGTACAAAATTCAACTAGTATAACGTACAACACGTGATCCATACCAACCATCTGGGAGATTCTGGTATGAAAAATAATCCAGGTATTAATATTGTACAAGGCAAAATTCCTGCGATGGAACAGAACATGTTTTTGTTATAAATTGGTTGCAGAAACTGAGTAATGCTATGCTCCAAACATTAGTGTTTTGAATTGCCTATTTAGCACATAATATTCTATCAATTGTTTGACGCCAATTATGC